TTTCCTACTTTTTTTCTCACTCTTAAAAGTTTTTTGTTTGATTTTTTTTAAAGGAAGAATTGTTTGCTGTTTTAAATGTGTATGAGTGTTTTGCCCTCATGATTGTAAGTGCATCGATGTCAATGTAATGTCCACGGAGTAGAGAAGAGGGTGTCAGATCTCTTGGAACTGGAGTCACGGATAGTTGTTAGCTTCTATGTGGGTGCTGAGAACTGAACCCAGGTTCTCTGCAAGAGCAGCCAGTGCTCTTAAGTGCTGAACCATCTCTCCAGCCCCCATTTTTTTTTGAGACACGGTCTTACTTTGTAGCCTAGGTTGGCTAGAACTTTCAGCAATCCCCCTGTCTCAGCCTATTTCAACCATTTTTAAGAGCCTTAGACTAAATCTGAATCCTTTTGTTCACGAACAATGTCCTGTTTAGAATTCTGTCTCTCCCAAAAGTCACTGGTCAGATTTGTTTGGCAGAGCTTGTCCCTTTGCACAGTCTGCTTTGTCTCTGGGAACCAAACAACCATGAACAAATGATTGGCTGATTTAAAAATGGCTTCAGGGCTGGAGAGATGGCTCAGCAGTTAAGAGCACTGACTGCTCTTGCAGAGGACCTGGGTTTGATTCCCAGCACCCACACGGCGGCTACGAACTGTCCTTAACTTCAGTTCCAGAGGAATCTGAAGCCCTCTTCTGACCTCGGCAGCATTGCATGACACGGGTGTACTCACATATATGCAGGCAATACACTTATATACATAAAATAAAAATAATAAATAAAATAAAAAAAAATGGCTTCAAAGTCCTAAGAAGTGGAACCTGGGTCAGCCTTCATGATACCTGACTAAAGGACCCAGTGGAAATGAGGTCCTGGGACTTCCCAGGCTGGGTTTCCTGGAAAGTTTGCTCTTAGAACCCTCAGTCACCAAGTGGGAAATCTGACTATATGGAAAGAACTTAAGACAACCTGGAGAGTCAGAGAGATCCAGATGAGTCTAGACTTCAAGCTGTGTCTTCAAAGGTTCACATGTGAGTGAGGCCTTCTTGGCCCTTCCAGGTTACTGACCAGCCACCAAATGATCTCCACTGACACTGTGTGGAACAGAAGAATCACCCAGCTCATCTCCAACCAATTTCCCACCATAAAATCAAGCCACTGAGTCTTGGGTGCTTTATGACACATCACTGGAAGGTAGAAATGTATCTTGAGACTCAGGCCCAGAGGCCAAACCAACTGCCAATGAAGGCTGTTAGCCAGGGCTCAGTCAACCATCTGAATGACACAGATGAGCTAGGCCTACATGCCATCTATTCTAGATAATGCTTTCAGTGAAAGTGAATGTTTTTGTTTGTAAACATTGGCTGCATACCATGAGTGCCAATGCACTGCTCAGCCAGGTGACTACCAGGAGCATTAGTGAACTATTCAGACAGGGAAGCTGATGCAGTGCGTTTGGATCAGCTTGGTGATAGAACCACCCTACTCTATGCTGTTCAAAGGTGACAGTTTAGTATGAAGACATATGAATTCAAATGATTATATTTAAACTAAAAGATAGGCAACTATTTCTGAGAGCACTCAGTTAATATTTTGCTGTTCTTTGAATGGAAAATGATCATTAATTTTTGGAGAAAATACCAAAGCAATCTGTGTTTTTGGCTATGTACTATGGAGCAAATTTAAAACATCAAAGTGCTTTCTATATTTTCTAATTACTCACAGCTTAGCTCCACAAGGACCAGGTGTTTTGGAAAATTACTGATGGGCTAACTCTGAGACAACCCAGATTCTTACCTCACAGAAACAAAACATAACCTTCCTTTAAAGTAGAAAAACAAAATGAAGTCCTTACAGAAACTGAATACGCCAAACTGAAGAGATTATTTAGATTGCTCAGTCTTTTAGATAAGGACTCACACACACGCACACACACACACACACACACACATGATTATTTATGATAAAAATGTCTCTGGAAGGATCCCCAAGAAACTGATAACAATGGAGTGCTGGACAGCTTTGGCTGTCAACTTGACACACCTGAATGTGGGAACCTCAGCTGGGGAATTTCCTCTATCAGATTGGGCATGGGCATGAAGCATTTCTTGATTCTTGAGTATGTGGGAAGGCCCAGCCCACTGTGGGTGACTCTGGGTTGTATAAGAATGCAGGTTGAGTACAGGCCAGAGCAGCACACCAGTGAACATTATTCCTCACAGTCTATGTTTCAGTTGCTGCCTCCAGGTTCCTGCCCCAGCTTCCCTCTCTGATAAATTGTCAGCTGGAAGGTGAAATAAACCCTTTCCTCCCAAGCATGCTTTGGCTCAGTGTTTTTAGAAAGTAACTAGGACAGAAATTGGTACAAAGAGTGGGGTACTGTTGTGTTGAACTTGACTAGTTTGTTTGGGGAAGGAAGTGGAAGTGTATAGAACTTTGGGCTAGAAAAGCCATTGAGTGCTTGGAGCTTAGTGAGCTGCGATGGCAGTCTGGCTTGTGAAGTTTCAAGGGAAGCAAAAACTATCATGGTTGTTTGTATGATATTTTGAATTGAGAGTCTATGGTTTCTGGTCAGGTGGGGCTATAGAATCAGTTGTGATTAACAAGTGATCAGTACCGCTGAAGTGACATCTTTGCTTTACTGGTACAATTGATGCAGGTTAGCTGGGGCTGTGATTAGGACAAGACCAGCATCACCGTGGTGATAGCTTCTGAGAAGTATTTCCTCAGAGTCAGCACAGAGAAGCTGTGGTGCAGTGGGTAGCCAAGGTTGGTAGTCACACATGGTAATGTGCCTCTCCTGGGCAGGTCATCCTGGGTTGTATAAGAAAGTAGGCTGAGCCCAGATCAGGGCAGTAGGCCAGTAAGCAGCTCTGTGGTGCTTCAGTTTCTATGTTTCTGCCCTGAGTTCCTGCCTTGGATTCCTGCTATGATGAACTGTATGCTATAAATAAGGTTAAATAAACCCTCCTCCCACAATGTGCTTCTGTTCAGTGTTTTATCACAGCAATAGAAAGTGACTAGCACAAATGGTTTCTTCCAGGGAGAATTAAGGAAGTGGAGAAAATGGGGGTGGGCGGCTGGTAAAGGAGGAAGACATTTTCCACTGTAACCTTTTTAATATCTAAAAAAAATTGAAAACTTAAGGGAACTTTAGGGGGCTTCAGAATTGTGTATCAGCTAGCTCAATATGATTTTGGTGAAGCTGCTTGACATTCCTGAACTATACTAGGTATTCTGCTAGGCTTTGGAGACAACTAGTGAATAATAGAGCAGTCATGCTTTAAGGTACCTTTGTGTATCCTGGTAGAGTCAGGCAATAATAAATAACCACATGAACTGCAGCGTGTGCCATAAAGAAACCATTAAAGGGTGCATCGAGAGATGAGGCTTGGAGGTCCTAATTTATACTGGATGTGAACACTGAAGGATAGGAAAGAAAGAGGACAGCAAGGGAAGGTGGGAGGAAGGGGGTTCTGATGGTGGGAACAGTTTATGACAAAGACCCCGAGGCTAGGCAAAAGCAGCTGTCTAAAGGAAGATCTGGGGCCCAATGTGGCTTAAACAAAACAAGTCCAGTTGAGTTTGGAACAAGAGGCATATCCCGGAAACCATGTTAAAGGTGTCATAGTTTTCCTAAGAACCCTGGTAAGCCCCTGAAAGTTGTAAGCAGTGTGTATGTGTGGGGGGCACATAACCTGATTTACTTTTAAATGTTACTTGGGCTGCTGTGTGGAAAATAGGTATAGGTGGAGACTGTGGAAGAAGAGGAGGGCCAGCTCTGAAACAACACAGGAAGCAAGAAAGATGGCCAGAAGAACATGTTGGAAAATAGTGAACAGTAGGTACACGTGAGATCTACAGTATTTTATGGAAGGACAATAATATGCAGTGTTATGGTAGAGCATACATTTACAGGTGTGAAAATGCTTTGTCAACTGTAAAGTGTCCACCAAGGAAAAGTGTTATTATAGATAATGAAGCCAGGTTCCAGAGAGACTCCCAACTTGCCCAAAGTCACAGGGCTGCGTAACAGAAGGAGGTAGGAGTGAGTGGAAGTGATTCCTTCAGTCTGTTTGCTGGGGATGGAAAAGAAGGTTAGTGACAGGACTAATTCCTTTGTTAACTGGACCTCTGGGTAAATAAAGTAATGGTATTTAGGCTGTTCCCACAAAGGATCACCTCTTGTAATTAGAACCAGGAGTCCGAAGCAGGAGTTCTTGGATAGAGTCATGTCAGCTGACCAGTGTTCTATGAGTAGAGAGGGGTACTTCATAACTGAAATGCTCTGTGTTCTGAAGGGGGACATGACCCTCTGATTTTCACTGATTATTCTGGGTGAGAGGTGTGTGTCTAATAGGGAAGATAAGACCCATAGGGTCCCCGATTGTTATTTATAACATGTAAGTTGGAAGTGCTTGTACCTAGGAAAGAAAATCAATTTGGGGGGCTACTTATGCAACTGAAGAAATAAGATGTACTTTGCTTCTTCCCAACTGAGTAAAACTGGAACACAGTACTGGATTCTTTGTGAAACAGGCCATTTGGGTCTGCAATGACTGGATCTAAGAAGTTATGTTGGTCTTTCTACCTCATGAACTTCTTTTTCTCTATCGTTTTTAAGATGCATAATTTATCTCCACATACAACTTTGCTTTGAAAGTGAGAAAGAAGCATGATGATAAAGCAGAAGTCTAGATGGAGGGAAGCCTTTATGTCCTTTGCTTCATAACAAACTGTGCTTACATTGGAGACATCAAAAGACAGAATTAGCACACGGAACCCCTGGAATAAAACTACACTGCCAGGAACTGAGCATTGGTAGGTAAAGTGGGTCAAAGAGTCAGGGCTTCATCTGGTGATGGTAACCAAGAAGAGGTCGACAGGTGTGTGTGTGTGTGTGTGTGTGTGTGTGTGTGTGTGTGTGTCCACAGCATACATATGCTTTACCAAGAAAAGCCTTTGATAGCCTCTTTTCCCCCCGTCAACTTTCAAACCAAAGCCTGACATTTACCTTCAGCAAGTGGGTCAAGGGTATGTATCATGAGCTGGAAGATGCTATTCCTCATGAGACTGTTGTGGAGGGAGGCAGAACTCCCACCTCGCTGGAGGCGCGGCTTAGCCTGAGCAGAGAAACCAAAGGCAATGTTACTTCACAGAAATGGACGTCAAGCTCATTACAATAAGAGCCTCACCTAATTATGGTCACTCATTTATGTTATGTGGTCACACACAGTTGAGCCAAAGATTTTCAAAGTCCTTTTTCATTAAATTAATTACTACCACTTAAAAAAAGATATTAGTACATGCCAGGCAATATGTGACATGCTTCACATAATTCCTCCATCTCATTCTTAAAATGAATCTGTGAAATAGATACTGTTAGTATTGACTTTAGATGTGAAGTGTCTCAGAAGAAAGATGAGGTGTCTGGGTCACACAAACAGAAAGTAATGGACAAAGGCATAGATCTTGGGCCTGCTTTTCTGAAAGACTAAGATAAGCTAGTAAATGATAGCTAAAATTTTTTGATTGTTCTATCAGCAAAATCTTGTGTATATCTTCATCTATGTCAATAAATATGTCCACACCTGTATCTCACAGTGACACACATGAGCATGTAGAACATTTTCCAAAAAGGTAAAGAATGAGAAAGCAAACCACGGATGTGGTGAGAACACATCTTTGACCCTTCAATGTATCATCTTGCACATCTTCTTGGGGCTTCTCAGCTCTATTCTGGAGATTGTGGTCCTAATCCAGAAAGTTCTGGGGTTCGTGTTAAGTGAGATCCTGAAAGACAGTTTCCTCTCATGACTCCATGGAGAACCTTCTGGCCTCCAGGGAACCTACGTTTATCATGGATTCTTATCAAATAACTGGAGCTCTGATATGAAGGGTGTGAATGAGCTTCAGGAGTTGAGGGTACTTGACTCTAGTTTTTTTTCTTTTTTCTTTTTGTTCTCAAAAGCAGTCTCATAGCAAACCCTCCTTCTTCTGACAGCATTTTATCCTGACTACAAACTGCTGTCTTCTCAGTGGCTGCTCTTGTACTGATTATCACAGGGGAAGATGCCCAGGAACAGGCAGACTTTATAGACACTTCAGGATGGGGAGGCCATCAGTAGATTTATTTCTTATTGAACATTTAGTCCTAAAACTTGACAAGAATTTTTCCTGAAATCAGGCAAAAATAAAGTTCTATTTCCACCAAATCTTCCAATTTTCTACGTTACAGTGTTTCCAGGAGAGACTCTGTAATTAGATACAGTTGGAAAAGGAAATATCCTCCTAGACCAACTCATTTCTAGAAGTCCAAGACATACCTCAGACAGTTACCCTGAGTAAAACACAAAAGAAATCTGGTTAAGCTGATGATCTTGACAATATTTCCAAACTACTGCCTATATGTTCCTTACTCTGGAAAATACTTAAGCTGAAAAATTTAGTGGCAACATAAAACCTCTTAAAAACTTGAGGTACAGGTAGCATCTCAGTACACGAGACAAGAAGACATCCGCGATGATATTTCAGTGTGATTTTATTAACCCTGTAGCATTCAGAGAGGAATTAGGGAGACTGCTGAAGCCTCCATGGAGAACAAGATCCTCAGCTCCTCAAAGGCAGCAACTGGAGTTCAGGCCACAGCTAGTCTTGAGGCTGGTGTATCCTCTGGGCTTTCAGTGAATGTCTTATTTCTGGGTGTTATGGAAGGAAGTGTTACGGTCACAAATATTTTCATTACTAATTTTTTCAGCCTTAAAATTCTGAAACATTTTAAAATGCATTGTGTTGTTTAGTTTATAGGGGATTTAGATTAGGAAAATTCAAAATATTCTAGGGGGGAGGGGAGTAGACCTGTGTCCACCATTGGCTGAACACAAAATTCATAAAGTTATTTCCCTGCCAGGCTGAACAATGTGAAATGTCATGTGTTAACTGGACACGAACTGAAAATGTGGTTGTTAATGATTTGTCATTGTAACCCCTGTCACTGTGGTCGTTATTCTGGGAAACCAGAATTCTGTTGTGGGAACTGTCATCAGAATAATGTCTATAGAAGACTTTAAAACATTCTTATAGGCATTATTGTATATACTGAAAATATATGTCTCATGCAGTATTTCTTTTGATGAGACCAAAAGAAATTTTCATTGAATGGTTGTTAATGATTTGTCATTGTAACCCCTGTCACTGTGGTCGTTATTCTGGGAAACCAGAATTCTGTTGTGGGAACTGTCATCAGAATAATGTCTATAGAAGACTTTAAAACATTCTTATAGGCATTATTGTATATACTGAAAATATATGTCTCATGCAGTATTTCTTTTGATGAGACCAAAAGAAATTTTCATTGAAAAAGGATGTGCATACACACACACACACACACACTCACACACACACACACACACACACTCACACACACACACACACACACATACGAACAGTTCTCAAGCATTAGATTCCAGTGTCCCCACATATCTGCCAACATCCCTTGGAATGGAATTTAGAAATTTCTTATTCAACACCTATAAAAGTTCATGTCCAATGGAGAGAGAATTCTAGAGTTTGAAACAGGACCAGAAATAATTCATGAGTAAAAGTCAGAGTTCCGCTGTTACAGAGTAGGACAGAGTATACCCCTCCCACCCAGTGGGTCAAACCATAAGTATTCCAAGGGAGAGGGAGATTTGCTGACACAGGCCTCTTCCCACCCCTACCCCATGCTCTCCACAGGCATAGGAACAGGCAGGACCACTGTTTCCTACCGGTAGAGCCGGCTCATCCTTGTCCCCGGCTGCAGAGGACTGCAGAGGAAAAGGCAAAAAGAAGACAAAGAAATAAGAAAATAATGAATTTCATACAGGGTTTGTATTTAATAACAAGCATCAATATAGAGGTGATTTTTCTGCTCCTGTGATAAGGTAAGCCCAGCAGGCTTATGGTATATATTTCTAGTCAATATATAATGGTTTATTTAGACATGTGATCCATGTTCTATTCTGAAAATGGAAATCTCTTTCCAAGTAGGAAAGATTGGCTAGAAAATGAGGGCACATGAGGGTCAGGTCAGCTAGTGGGAGAGAACATATCTTAGACAAGAGGACACTTGAATTCTACAGCGGTGAACCAAATAGATGACTCTGCTTCCCCAGTTCAGTGGGAACTCCTTTCTTATGTAGTGTGGGGGGTGCCATTCCGGAGCCTTTCCAATGATGTACAGGTGTCTTGAAGGCTCCTTATGCTCAGATCTGTTGCTTTACATCAACTATGGTTAAGAAAGAACCAACCAGAACCTCACCCTCTGGTCTTCCTATGGAGCCTGAACAGACATTTGTTCATGGGAATAATCACACACATGAAGAAGAGGTACAGAGCTCTGTAAAGACTGTCACAAGGTGCAGGCGCTTTCTTTTTAGGTCCTACCACACAACATACAAAGATTGCTATGATGCTTCCACATCTCACATGAAATGCACATCCTTGTAGGAAAAGTGAAGAGGATTCTTATGACTTTGAATTTGAAATGGTTGGCTTTTAAATTTATGATTGGCATGCTCAAAATTTTGGAAAGTGAGAATATTGAATCTGTAATTTGTTTTCATGTATGGCATAATTTTTAAGACAAACGAATCTGATAATGAGGTTAGACATTTTATAGACATTAAATTAAATACCTAGTAACCTTAATTTTTGCAGAGATTCCTTTTTGGGCTTTGGAATAAATTCAATGTATTTTTTTTTAACTTCTGTGTCCAAACATTGTTATAAACCCTGGTAGAACTTGTGCATCTCAGACATGGACAGATTAGCTCTGGGTTGACGGTAATTTCCAAGTACAATCTGTGGGTGTCACTAAATTTGTCATGATCCCCTCTTTTTGGCTTGTCTTTTCAGTGACTTCTTGAAAAATATCATAAGAAAATATCTCTGAAGCCCTAGTTCTCAAGAACAAGCTTGGGAACTGGAGCGGACAGGAAATTGTCCTTTGGTGTCTCTCTTTGCCCAGAAAGGCACCATATGAGTTACTTCTCTGTGGCAGGTCCTTTCGTTTTCTCTCCTTCCACATCAGACAGCTCAACAAATGGCCTACAGAGCAATCCTCCAGGGAAATGTTCCAGTGCAGCTGGCTCAGCTAACTCAGCCTTTAGACATACTTCAAGATTAGCTGTCAGAGCACGCCTTTTCAGTTAGCAAATTTACACCTTGTGGCTATATAGGAGGTAAATAATTATGAGTCAGAATGATGTCCCAGCAATATCACAGAACATGAAAGAACAGAATGAAACTGTGCTTCAGAAGAGCAGAAGCATGCCCAGCTGACAGTGAAGTTCTAAAATATACTTAATAAAATTGTTTGAGGATGGAAGAAAATGTGAATCTTCCTTTTGGTCTGAATATAAGGAAAAAATCCCACCCCACTGATTTCCTTTTTTACTTGTAAGGTAGAAAATGCCTTGCACAGAGATTCTGATAAGAACAGGGTGCAGAGAAAGGTCTGCAAGCTTTTTACAAAATTTCTGTTGTCTCATGTCAACAGAAGTTGACATCATTAATTTTCTTTCAAGTGTGATTTGCAGACATGAATATACATCAGGTTACAGCGTGTAAATCTAGGCGACACACAAATGTCGGGTGAGACCATTCAGAACAAGCCTCTACTTTTCTCTTATGTAATCTGTTGCAAAGTGTGACATGTGATAACTGCTCCCTTCCATTCCCTGGTGATTTCTGATACTCTCCTCCCTTAGGCTCATTCTAATTACATGTGGAAGAGCCTCAGAATCCCAGCAATATACTGTTGATTGTGTTTTCAATTCAGTGTTAAAGGGGCTTTACGCTGAAAGTACCCAGAGTGACGGTGACAAAGAAACAGCGCTGATGTGTATGGCCAGTGGGTTTTGGGTTGGCCTTGATATTACAAAGTTATTTTCAGGGTTGCTAAACATCTGGTAAGTTTATTCTAATTGATGAATTTTCAAAAGAAAACTAAGACTCTAAACTTGGAGGTCTTATTTTTCTATTTGTTTTTTCTTTTCAGACAGAGTCTCCCTGTAGCCCCAGCTGACCTGGAACTCACTATGGAGACAAGGCTGGCCTTGGACTCACAGAGATCTCCCTGCTTCTGCCTCCCGAGTGATGGGATCAAAGGTGTACGCCACCACACCAGGCTTAATCTTGGTGTTTTTTTATTGCGTGTCTTAAAAGAAAATTCTTAATTTGAATACCATCCATTTCCACGGATATATTACAATATATTGAAATACTATCAATTTGGACTGCATTAATTTGAAAGCCCAAGTGCTGGTGGTCAATTCAAAGGCTATGCCAGCTACAGGAGAGGTCTATCATACCAGCAGCATACCAGCAACACCCCAGATTTATTTGAGAGACTTCCTAAAGGACTTCCTGAAGGGTCTCGGGCACCCTTCTCTTTCTCCGATAACAAGGCTTTACCAGTTGAAGGTGGTAAGAAAGAATAGTGTGGTTCAAAATTCAGTCAATGTAAATGGGGCCTTTCACCTCTCCAAGTTGGTTATGTGGTGACTGCACTAAACTGGAGCAACCGCACAGATGCTGTTAATATTCATGGTATTTCCTGGAGGAAATGCCACTTGTATATGGATATTTTGTTACTTACTTATCAATATTTTGAAAGTTCTCCACCCCCAGATAATAAACATATAATCCATGTAACAGAAAGAAGCATTTTAGATAGAAATCATTCTCAAGTCTTTAAATCCCTTCTCTTCCTTTAACCTTGGGAAGTCACTAGCTGGGAAATGGTTTTGTTGAAGATTACGTGCAGTTTTGATGTAACTTTGTAAAAAGCTTTACCCCCAATACACCCCTACTCTCTTCTCAACATAGTAAAAGTAGGCAAGTATTGCAAGTCTGGTTGCTTTGGGCCACACCGTGAGATACTTGGAAATCATGCAAGTAAATGGGTCACCATAAGGTGTCATCTACCCCAAAACAAGTGTGGAAATAAGGGGAAGTTTCCCTGGCCAGTGACTGGATAGCAGATACACGGAAAACAGAGGCAGTTTTCTGAAAACTCCAGGAATAACAACCGACTTCTATCACTGCAACTTTCTGCCAAGCGTTGTGAAATGGACCTAAGACCAGAAAGCATTATAAAAGTTTACCTAGATGTAAATGCGAGCCAAACCAAATCTGTTAGTAACTAACTAATCTATTATGAAACTGGTGTTAATTTTAATTTTAAAGTAAATTGAATTTTTAAGAAAGTTTGGGTGAGAGATGACTCGAATGACTGATTTTCATTAAAAGTGATATATCCTTTTTCTTTCAATATATTTTCTGTAATAAAGAAAAAACATTAAAAAATCTTTCCTGGATGAAGATGAATAAACCCCAAAGACTATTGGGAAGATGAGATATGATACAAAAATCACTGAACTTGAAACTGGAAAGGACACAAACCTGCCCCCTCTTAGTTGGAAGCATGTCTCCTCTTATTTCTTTACCATGTTTCCCCTAAAACACTGGGGGAGGAGAGGTTAAATAAATGCCCAGAGAAAGAAGAGATCTAAATTCAAATGACTTTACACTGGTTGCTGTGTAATTAACAATCCAGTTCTTCTGGAAACTGGAAAAATAAAGCCAGAGGAGAAGTGATGTCACATGGAATTCGGGGCCAGTGTTGGGGTTTGGTTTTCTGCCTTGTCTCATTTTAGCTGTATGACCTTGAGCAAGTCACCTAATCTCTTCATGCTTTAGTTCCTTCATATGTAAAAAGGGGATAATAATAACATCTTACTTAGAGTGCTGTTGTCAGGGTTAGTTGAGATAACACTTATACAACGTGCTGACACCAGTGTCTGGTCCATAAGCTGTACGCATTAGTTTTGTCATCATCACTAATAGCCACAAAGGATAATAGCAAAAAGTAGCTCAAGGCCATGAATTGGGTTTGGAAATAGGGTGGCGTCGATGGGCAGCAAGCAAGTTCATTGATGAGGGTGGTGGGAAGTGACTTAAGTAGACTCTAGAGTAGGGCCACTCAGGTGTGTCTTAGCTTGGCAGCTGTGGCAGGTGGAAATGACATAAAAGATTCTATTTCCTTCACTTGGCTCCTGACCTCATCTCTGTCCTATAAACCAGAACCATCTGGAGGATGCAGAGGGGGCAAGGGAGGCCAGCATCTTGTATGTCCTGTGCCTAAGAGCCTCAAGAGGCTCTCAGGAGGCATAAGACTGACAGAAAGTAGATCTCAAACCTGAACCAAAAGACTCTCCAACTCTGAAATTGAATGGCCTCCTGACACTTCCACTGGGTAGGCCATTGCTCATGGGTAGAAGTGGGAGCATCTGACCAGAGGGCTGCAGACCCATCTTGAGATAAGGCTCTGCTGCAGTATTTTCCTTCTCTGGGTGGATTCTGGATTCTTGTTCCCACATTTGAGAAGCCAGGCTGTGCAGGGACTATTTACAAGTGTGTCCAGTATAGGCAAGCATGGGGCATGGGAGCACTGGGAATCTTTTAAAGCCATGATTTGCTTTACTCTCAGCACTGGGGAGGCAGAGGCAAGTGAATGTCTGTGATTGAGCCAGCTTGGTCTACATAGTGAGTTCCAGGGCAGCTTGGGGCTACAGGGAAACCCAGTCTCAAAAAACAAAACAGAGCCATGATTTGGATAAAGTGAAATAAGGCCCTTAACAACTTGGAAAGGAGCTAACCCTGTGAGAGGGCAGATTGTCATAACTGGTGAGAAGAACATGGTTGGAATCTACTAAGACAATTCATTTGGGAATGCTCAGTAAGGCAAGAAGACCAGGATACA